TGCAACGAGCAGGCCTATTCCCTGGCCGTTGAGAAGCTGCTCAACATCCGCCCGCCCCTGAGGGCTCAGTGGATCCGAGGTGAGGGCGGCCCCGTAACATTTCTGCGGGGTTCCAGCACCCGCCCCGGAGGCGGGTGCTCCTGCCTGCCCTGCTGTGGGTCGTAGCTCTTGGCTTTTGGGGGACTCAGCCCCCATTCCCTGTCCCCAGGGGGGCTGGAGGTGCTCACCCCCCTGTGCCAGTCCTCTTCGCAGAGATAACCCGGCTGCTCAACCACATCATGGCCGTGACCACGCACGCGCTGGACATCGGGGCCATGACCCCCTTCTTCTGGATGTTTGAGGAGAGGGAGAAGGTAAAGGGCAGCGTGGCCATGCCGCGGGATCAGTGCGGGGGGTTCTGGGGCTCGGTGCTGCCCACGCAGCCGTGCTGGGATGCAGTGGAGTCTCTTCTGTCCCCGCAGATGTTCGAGTTCTATGAGCGGGTCTCAGGGGCGCGGATGCACGCTGCCTACATCCGCCCCGGTGGGGTGCACCAGGTAAGGGTGCCCTGGCTCCCTGCAGAGCCCCTCTGCTCTGGCAGGGATGTGCGGGGTGTCCCTGTGTCCCCGTGTGGGTGATGGCCCCTCCGGTGCCTCCCTGCCTGCATCCCCAGTGCCACCGGCCATGCGTGGGCTGACCTCCCTCTCCTCCCACGCAGGACCTGCCCCTGGGGCTGATGGATGACATCTACGAGTTCGTGAAGAATTTCTCCACGAGGATCGACGAGGTGGAGGAGGTGAGGCAGGACGGCAAATGGGCCTCTGCTCGAAACCTGGGAGAGAGGGACAGTCCCCGTTTCCCAGCACCCTGAGGGCTGGGGTCTCGCGTTGTCTGTCCCCTGGGCACGGCCAGCGTGGGGTTTTTCCTCCTGCGGCAGCGGTGACAAGGTGACACGGGTCAGGACAGGGGGTGCACAGTCGGGGAGAGGCAACCAGTTCGGGGGATGCGTGACTCACGCCCTGCTGCCCGCAGATGCTCACGAACAACCGCATCTGGAAGAACCGCACAGTCGACATCGGGGTGATAACGGCGGAGGAGGCTCTCAACTACGGGTTCAGGTGGGTCTGGTGGCTCCCGGGGACGCTTATGGGGGGCTCAGCCTCCTGCCAACACCCAGCTGCGTCGTGCCCCCGAGAAGGATCAGGGTTGAATCTAAAGAGCTCAGCCCTGATTGCAGGAGACCCCAGGGCCATCGGAGCCGTGTTGGGGACCGATGGCAGCAGTGACTGTCAGGGCAGTGCTACCTGGTAGCCAAGTGTGGCAGGAGCTGTGACACCATGTCCTGCCTGCTTTTGCCTGCCTGATGTCCCCAGGCTGTCCTCCCGTGGCCGCTGCTCAGGGCTGTGCGGTGTGCGCAGGCGGGGGACGCGTGGCCGCTTTCCCCTGTGTCAGGGTCTGCTTTGGGGTGCGGGGAGGGCCTGGAGCTGGTGTGGGGCTGGGCCCCCCCGGGTGGGCTGCTCCCCCGCCTCCCTCTGCCCAGCGGGGTGATGCTGCGGGGCTCGGGGATCCACTGGGATCTGCGCAAGACCCAGCCCTACGACGTCTACGATCAGTTGGAGTTCGACGTCCCCATTGGCTCCCAGGGCGACTGCTATGACAGGTACGTCACCCCCCGGCTCTGCCGTGGGCCGGAGGCCGCGGGGAGGCCTCGGCAGGGTCACGCCTCCTCGGGGGGCCTGCGGTGAGGCCGTGACTTCCCCATGGGGTGCCCACCATGCCGGGCGCAGGTCCTGAGCGGCGTGGGGGTCCCACAGGTACCTATGCCGCGTGGAAGAGATGCGACAGTCCCTCCGTATCATCCTGCAGTGCCTCAACAAGATGCCTGAGGGGGAGATCAAAGTGGACGACGCCAAAATCTCCCCTCCAAAGCGGGCAGAGATGAAGGTAAAAGCACTTCCTTCCCCCGCTGGGCCTCGCCGCCGGCTGCGTGACGGGGCCAGCGAGCAGGAAACAGTTTTGTGTGCCCGACGT